CCCAATTTGGCCCCAGTTTCTGCAGTAGGTCCATTCCTCAGCTTTAAGAGAAAGCAGCATTATCCTGGCTAATTCCAAGGAGTGAGAAACCTCAGGATAAAAAAAAAAAAAGGTTGGAACTCTTCCTTCTGGAGTTTCTGGGTAACAAATGTCGAAGGTGAACCGCTAAGCTGGGCTTTACAAAGAGCTGCTCAGCTGGAGGTTCAACCAGTGAAGCAGCAAAGCCAGATCAGGACAGAAATCTCTTAAAGCTGTGGCTCCAATGGAAGCAGGACCACACTCAGCCTAAGTATTTAAAAATAATAATTAAAATATCCATTCCGAAGCCAACCGCCCTCATATTGACCGACGTGAAGTGTTCCCTTCCCCTGTTTAATATAACCTACAAATGTGAAGGGTTAAACAATCAGCAACTTTAAATGACTCTGTTAGGAAAAATAAATAAACCTAGGGAAGACTGTGGACATAAAGAATTTAAAAAATTAGTTCTACAAGCAAAGAAATAAAAGGATATAAAGAACAAAAATCCCCAAACCCACTGCTTTGGGTTGTGCCAACGTGCAGCATTTTGACATTGCAGCTCCCAAACAAAGGGACCAAAAAAAAACCCCACCAGCTCCCAGAGCAGGTAAAAATAGAGCTTTAAAAAAATAAAACCATACAGGTTTAAGGTCTGTTTGTTGCATAATCTTTACAGCATTTAAATAATAATAATAAAAAAATATCCAGCTTCCTACGGACATCTGTGAATATCCCACTGAGCAAAGCTGGGTGTTGTCACTGCAGGAAGAACAGATTTAAACCCCAAACAGATTTTGTGCTCAGAAAATGACAAAAGGCAAGGAGTACCACGTCTAAAAAAGCTGAGCTTAAATCCTACCTCGTTCTCTCCCCTGGCAGGAGCAGCTGGGAGAGGAAACAATCCTGATTCCAAAGGGAGCACCAGATCCCTTGGCTTGAGCTTGCTCTTCCCAAGCCCTCTCCCAGTCCCTCAGGCTGGGACACAGCTTAATTCCACATGATTAAAACACACCTGGGTGGAAGGATGAGTTCCAGAGCGGGACAGGGACGAACCAACTCTGCCCCAAGACTCAGCAGCACCCGGGAAAGGGGAATCCTGCTTTAAGCCAAGACAGATTCCCAGTCCCTCACACCCTTCTGGCCACGGGAGTCACACAGAGGAGTGACCCTCCCCACTGGAATTCAGATTCCCAGTGTTTCCTTCCTTCTTGGAGCTCCCCTTTTCTCCCCCCTTATATCCCTAAAACAGAAAGGGAGGTGGCCAGGGTTGCAGATCAAACACAGTCCCAGGAAGTTGTTGTGCTCATGGTACCTCTGGGAAAGCGCACAGGAAAGGCAGGGAGCTTCCCACAAAAACCTGGAGTATCCCCACACCTCTCTGAAAAGGCAGCTACCTCAGCAAAGCCTCCCACTTGCATAATCTCCACCTGAAACCATTTATTTCCAAAGGAAAAAAGGTGCCAGGAATAATCATAAGACACCTATTACGAGTTAGAGCAGCAGTTTCTAAGGCAAATAACTCCCAAATTATACCTATCCAGGTACAGGCAAAAAGGATTGGTAGTGGTTGCAAATACCACCAGCAAAGAATATTCAGTGTGGAAGGAAAAATAAAAAAAATCCAATAGCAGCAGTTTGGGAACTAAGTCTCACACACTCCTGAAAAGGCCACAGCAAGACAAGCATCACGAACTTAAATAACCTCCCTTCATGCTGCTCTAATGAAAATAACAAATTAATACCAATTTCTGGGTTTTACTTTCCAAAAATACCATCAAAGTAATTTAACTGCCAGAGGGACCCTGTGGGTACAGAGGAAAAACAGAGATACAAAACCTATAACCAGAAAAAAACCCAAAAAACCAGAGTTATTCCCCTGCTGGGGCCTTTCTTCTGGGAATTAATAAGGTTGGATCATCAGAAGCCTCCAGTTATTTATAAATAAATAATCAATCACAATTCTTAAGTCTGTGTTGTACAGGACTATCAATTTGGGATTTTTAGAGCATTAAAGATTTGCTACCTACTATCAAATCACACCCTGATAATAGTCCTGACTTAAGAAGGGGCTCTAAGGCCCCTGTTTGCTTAAACTGGAGCAATCACTGCTCCCAGGACTGGCTGCAACTCTTCACCTCATCCAGAAGTTTAAACTGTATAAATCAAAGCAGGAGAAACCCCCAAAGAATTAAACCTTAAGAAAAAAAGCTGAGAGGGGTAGGGGTGGGTGGAAAAGGAGAAGGGAATAAACTCAGTTTTACCTGATTGCTTCTCAAAATGGGGAGAGAAAGGAAGATTTTTTTTTTTTTATTTCTTCCAAAAGTCAAATCTAAATCCAAGCCCAAACCAGCTCTCTGGCTTAAATCTGACCTAAACCCTCAACTCTGCTTCCTCTGAAGTCAGTAACAATTAGCTCCTAAAAGCACAGGCAAAATTCAAACCTAAATCCAAGCCAAAACCACCTCCCTGGCTTAAGTGTGACCTAAACCCTCGACTCTGGTTCCCTCTAAGTCAGCAACAATTAGCTCCTAAAACCACACAAGCATTACACTGGTACTTATTCATACCAACAATTCAGTGCAAGATTTAACAGAATTTGTACCTTGTTGTCCAATTTAACCACCCAGGCAGCAAAAACAACGTCATGAACAACAGAGCTGCTGCAACTCCAGGTGATGTTTTACAAAACACAGTGGTTTTTTTCCCCTCTAAAACACAAAAGGAGGGAGTAATAAAGCAACAGAACCGAAGAGTTCTGGAATGAAAACTGAAGGCAAGTTCAGGTCTGACGCTGCCCATGAGAAAATCAGTGAAAGAAATGGGCACAGAAACCCCTTTTTAGGTGAAGAGCTGAAGAAAACAGAGCGAGGCAAAGTGAAACCCGAGCGTGTGCAGGGTGGGGGGGTGGGAGGGATTTGTAGGGCATGACAGGGAACATCTGACACTGGCACACGAGACCCGGGGTGACAACATTCCACAGCCACTTAAAGAGCCCCAAACTGGCCGGCCTAAGGAGTGCAATTACCATAATTAACGGTGGGTGTTAATCGGAGACCAGTGCAGCCACCCTGGAACCCTTTAAAATGCGTTTTTAAACTTCAAGTGGAAACAGAAGCTGTGTAACATTTTGGGAAAATGAGGCTGTTAAAGGCACATTAACTACGAACCAGTTAAGACCACGTTCCTTCACGACGTTAATTAACACTAATAATGCAATAGGGACCCACTGTCCCCTGTACATTCACCACAAAACCACCCTACAAGTGTTCTGTAAACAGAAAAGCTGACCCAGGCTTGCAGAGCCCGATTTTCCTGTCACCGCAGCGATGGTGATTAAAGCACAAAAATCACCCGTGAACTGAAACACCTCGAGCTCAGCTGGTCAGCTGGGGGTTAATTTAGTTTCACAAGCACAAATCTGGCCTTGTTAAATTAAAGTCTGTGCAAATAAACTGCATGTGCACACGGAGAAAACACTCACACTCAAATAACTGTTACCTGTTTTTTTAGGCTAAGGCTGAAAATATATTCCTTTTTAAAGTTGAATTCACTTTCTTTAGAGGAAAAAAACCACACCATTATCTTGCTACACTAAGAATCTGATTTCTACCTAGTTTTGCTTTTAAAACATTGCTCAGTGGATTACAATGTGTAAGTTTTTGCTACAAGTTTCTGTGCTACTGCCTCAATAGAGTTTTAAGGATGGCACTGTTGAGACAAAATCTGCTCTAGGAACATCCACGGAGCCAAAATGACACATTTGGAACATTTTGCAAGTACATAGATATGGAAACAGCTCTCTAATCATCCACAGAAAGTCAAATTCCACACTGAACACTAAGCAACATAAAAATCTTCGTTTTTGCCTTTCAAACTTCGCTTATATCGCCAACTTAATTCGATTTTAAAATAAGAACTGCTCTCCAAACCATATAAACTGATACTTAAGAGCCTTAATTATTAATACACATTAAGAGACAGTGTAACAGTAAGTTAAAGCATTAAAATATTCCTAAATGCCCTAAGAACAAACCTGGAATTACTCATTCTTTGCTAATTCTCACCCTGAACATCCACACTCTGATTGTCTAAGCCACAGAACGGAGACAAAGTTAACAGCAATTAAATATATTAAGTCTTTCACACCAAAAAAATAATCAGTTTAACAGCTTTGGTAACCTAGTACATAGTTAGCTTTGTGTAAATATTTTGCAAACATCCCTTCACCAAAAAAAAAAAAATCCCTAAATACCACGTGTATATTTATATAATAATATACAGAGTTCCTGAGTAAATCGTTAAATCTGATTATTCAGAAGATTTGGCAAAAATATTTAAACTTTATATTACCAAAATAGAATTTTAAATAAACATTCAATGAACACATTAAAATAAATACGGAATGTGTCTGGAAAAAAAAAATCATAGTACCATGAACTTAATTTAAAAAATTATTGTTTGTTATTAATATAAGTGCATACTATGTTATATAGTTACTGGTTTTTAACCCACTGAGGAAACAATACATCTAAATTTCTAATCCTGAGTGACTGTTTGCTATCACCTGCTGATGTGTACTCCAATGCAGAACACATTGCAAAGCTACAAAACCCTTTTTTTAATGGAAAAAAATTGAAGTGGACTGTGCTACAGGAAAGCTCAGGTCACACTGGGGTTGCCAGAAGCTGAACTGGCAGCACAGCTGCTGCAGCATCTCACACAGACCACGTTAAACACTGATTATTCCTGTCAAAATAGTGATAATCTGGCTGACCTGATTCCCAAAAACACAGGAGTGTGCACTGCTCCTGGCAGAGTGATGGGATGCAAACTACTTAGTGATCACTTTGGCTCTTGAAAGAACTATGTTATGGTGCAAACCAAAAAAAACCCCCACAAAACCCTGAATAATTTATTAAGTACCTTTAAGAGTACCACGTGTATATTTATATAATAATATACAGAGTTCCTGAGTAAATTGTTAAATCTGATTATTCAGAAGATTTGGCAAAAATATTTAAACTTTATATTACCAAAATAGAATTTTAAATAAACATTCAATGAACACATTAAAATAAATACGGAATGTGTCTGGAAAAAAAAAATCATAGTACCATGAACTTAATTTAAAAAATTATTGTTTGTTATTAATATAAGTGCATACTATGTTATATAGTTACTGGTTTTTAACCCACTGAGGAAACAATACATCTAAATTTCTAATCCTGAGTGACTGTTTGCTATCACCTGCTGATGTGTACTCCAATGCAGAACACATTGCAAAGCTACAAAACCCTTTTTTTAATGGAAAAAAATTGAAGTGGACTGTGCTACAGGAAAGCTCAGGTCACACTGGGGTTGCCAGAAGCTGAACTGGCAGCACAGCTGCTGCAGCATCTCACACAGACCACGTTAAACACTGATTATTCCTGTCAAAATAGTGATAATCTGGCTGACCTGATTCCCAAAAACACAGGAGTGTGCACTGCTCCTGGCAGAGTGATGGGATGCAAACTACTTAGTGATCACTTTGGCTCTTGAAAGAACTATGTTATGGTGCAAACCAAAAAAACCCCCACAAAACCCTGAATAATTTATTAAGTACCTTTAAGAGTGCTAAATTATCTCATTAACAAAAAAAAAAAAAAAAGGAGAATTAAGTTCTGCCACACTCTCTGGTATGTCAGGTGATGGAAAAGCACACAAGGCAATGCTCAGCTGTTGTTTAGTTCCTCCTATCACCAAGATTCCTACTGCAATACCAGCAATATCAAAACTGCATTAACACTGCCACGGGAAGCGTCTCTCAACACCAGAATCACAGTAACAGAACTGCAGCACTGACCAGGCACATTAATGAACCCTTTTGCTTCCTCACATCCCACCAAAACCCCCCTTTCCACGGTGCTGTGCAGGACCCTGAGCCCTTCCCTCCCTGTCCTCAGCCTCTCCCTCTCTATTGCTACTATTATTTCTCATTATTCCACGATGATCTTCGGGGGTTCCTCGGGCTTTTCTTGCTCCACGCTGCCTTTTTCTTGTGTGCTTGGAGGAGGAAGCTCCTGCAATGCCCTTTGAGCAGCATCTGGTCTCTCCAGCCCACCTGGAGGGTTTTTCGGCAGAGTCATCTGTGCCGCGCACCAGAGCGCGGTGCGAGCCCGGCGCGTGGCACCAGCCAGGGCCCCGATGGCAGCTGCCAGAGCCAGGACATCTGCAACAGAGAAACGTCTCAAATCAGTGTGCAAGCCTAGAAATGTTAAAAAAAAAAATGATTCAGCTCATCTCCTTGAGCAAAGTGTGCTCAAGAAAGGGCTGAGCTGTGCTGGTTGAACTCCCGTTGGTCGCGGCTCTTCTCTGGTGAAGGGCAGGTGCGACACCTCGCACTCCTTGTGTCTGTGCACAAAGTGCTGGTGGAGACTGGGCCAACTGGTCAGCCTGCAGGCAGTTTCTGGGTGCATCTCTCCCCCTGGCAGGGAAGGAGCGTCCCAAAGGCAGGGATCGCTCACTTTGGGATGGGTCAATTAAAAGCATTACAATCCAATCAAATATGGAGATAAAATCCTAAAGTAGCTCCACAAGTGTTTTGTTGCTTCGTAACTGGGGAATTCTGCAAGGCCAGACACTAAACCTGCCCGTTTCTACCCAAAACTGCTGATGTTTTAACTCTTTAGACACAGATTGTTGACTAAATCTGGGACTAAGTGGATCAAGCTGCACTTGGACTTCTCTGGGAAGTTTAGGAAGTGAGGGGGTCTCAAGGATTGTGATACAACAAGAGAGACTGCAACCTGATGATACAACAATCCACTGTAACAGATGATAAAGCTGTTATTTACAGACTGCTTTGGCAATATTTAGTGACTGCATTGGTAATAAATCTAATCATAATCATTCATGTAACCACCGTGTCCCACTTCTCATGCCTGGCCAAGAACCTTCCCTTCCACTACTCCTGACTTATGCTGGGGGTTATTGTCACATGACACAATTTTAGGAGTTATTTTAGGACTCAGTTTGCACATAGGGCTATTCTTTTAAGGATTTGACATCATACTTGACACTTAAATTGCAAAAGAAAAACACTGACTTTTTTTATGGTTTATCTTTCCCTTCTAACAAAGAAGAACTATTCTTTGCTGGAAGCCAAAGGAATCTCTCTCTGTCCTCTCCACTGCAGCAGCAGAAAGTGCATCCCCTCTTTGGAAATCATTTTCTGAAGAAAAATAAAGTTACCTTTACCCCCAAACCCTAAATTCCGATATGTATCGCCTCTACTGCTGCTACAGGTCCCTCTGGCTTTGGTTCAACAGAACTTGAAATGTAATTTCTGGTGTATTTGTGATTTAGATAAGGGTAGACAGACATTAATTAACACAAACCCCAGTAAATTTACTTTAACTTTATAAACTAAAGAGAAAAGAAAGCACAGCGGTATCACTAAAAATAAATATGCTTAAAAACAAGTGCATTTTTACTTTCAGGACGGTGACTTGCGGTTATATAACATCACTGCTTAATTTTTACAGTTCTCTTAGTCAAGAGGGAAAAATGCTTTGAAGCGTTTAAACCTCAGAGTAACTGCGTGTAACAAGCGTGTATTTACAAGTTTTCTTTTGCTGGAGCAACAAGAATTGCCGCACATTGTTCCAAACCGGCATATTTTAAATTGAGCACGTTCACAATTAAATCTCTGCAGGGATGAGGGGGGCAGGGTGGGGGCAGGTACCTTTGTCGTGAGTGGAGCGTGGCACTCCTTGTCTCGGGGCATTGGCGGCGTTAACAATCTCATCCTCCCGCCGGGCCCGCGTTCCGTGGATGGCTCCCCCGTGGCGCTCCAGGGCCGCGGGGATGTTCCCGTGCACGGGGGCGCCGCGAAGCCTCTCCATCGTCCCTATCAACGTCACCACCTGCCAGGGAACGCCAGGAGTCGTTCAGTATTTATTAAAAAATAATAAATCTCCCTACAAACAAATATAACACACACACACACACGAGGCCTACCCTGGCGTGTTCCCGCCACTGGTCGACAATCAGACGATCCACCCGCGAGGGGTTGGCAGGGAGGCGGGACACGGGGGCGTTGCTGCAGCTGGAGATGCTCTTCCCCGGGAAGTGTCTCGCAAGGTCAGCCTCAGTCTGAAAGGAAAATGAATATCCAGTGTGAATGTTTGTAATTAGTGCGGTATTACAGCCTGTTTTGGGGGGGGATGTTTGGAATTTCCGAGTACTTTAGAAGTCCCATCTTTACTTCTGAGTGTGGTCACAGAAAAACATTTCTAAATATTATAGAATCATGGAATGGTTTGGGTTGGAAGGGACCATAAAGATTGTCCAATTCCACCCCCTGACACAGGCAGGGACACTTTCTACTATCCCAGGTTGCTCCAAGCCCCATCCAACCTGGCCTTGGACACTTCCAGGGATCCAGGGGCAGCCACAGCTTCTCGGGGCAACCTGTGCCAGGGCCTCACCACCCCCACAGGGAACAATTTCTTCCTAAATCTAATCCAACCCTGCCCTCTTTTGGTTTAAAGCCACTACCCCTTGTCCCATCACTCCATCCCTTGTCTAAACTCCCTCTCCAGCTTCTTTGCAGGAATATTTCCCTAATTCAGCTCTCCCTCAGACTGCAATGCTCAGTTGACAGGGAGTCAGGCCACAGAGGTGTCATTTGAGCTGGGAAGTGAGAACCAAACCTGTACAACTTTATTTTAATCAATCTTGGACACAGACCCAGGCAAAGAAATTCCTGTGTAGCACCCAAGGAACAGGCACCTGGGGATGTGGTTTAGTGGTGAAGATGGTGGTGCTGGTTGATGGTTGGACTTGATGATCTTAAAGGTCTTTTCTAACCTTAATGATTCTGCAGTTCTATGAATTTAAACTCAACGGCTCTGACTGCATTTCTCAGATGTCACATACTGTGATTATTAAAACAAAGGAACAGGCGATCACAGCAGCAGAAATTGTATCTAAAGTTCATCAGGATTAACCCAGATTTAACTTATAAACTTAAACGTGTATCAGCTCTGAAAAGTTATTAATACAGCTGCCCAACTCCCTGTTGAGAAAGACACTGAACAACCCACTTCCATAACACAGACAGTGACTAAACATCACCAAACCTATTTTTGGAGAGGAACTACTTGGGAATAAAAAAAACAACTAGCAGTAGATTCCTTCTCTCCTTCCTTCTTCAGTGTCCAGTGGACACAGGAGAGAGGGCCCAGGTGTCACCCTGCAGTTCAAGGCAAGGTTAAGTCCACATTCCCACTATGCACATTCCTACTGCAAACATGTGCTGAAGTCCTTGGCTTTTTGCTTTACTGACACTTCCATATTATTTAGTCTCTGCCCCTGCCTAACATGGATTACAAGAGCTCACTGACTCCAACTCCTCTCACCTGAGAAGCCTGAAGGGCCTCCAGGAAAAAAAAAAGCAGATGGGAAAAGAGTCATGTATTCATATAACACCACCAGGTATTTAAGAATCACAGCTAATAAGTAATTAACTAATTGATCTGCACATTTAATACTGCAGGCAACTCCAAAGAGACAACTGGTAAAACAAAGATATCCACAGGTGGAATGTCTAAGTACAAAAAGGACTGAGGAAGCCCAAGCAGATCATTAGGATAAAACTGGATCACATGGAACAGACCAGACCAAGTCAGTCAGTTAAATCCCTCTGATTATAAAGCACATTGTTTATCTTCCTACATCTTCCTTTAATCATGAAATAAAGAAACCAAGACATAAAACCTATGGTTTGGTCTTCCCAAAAGACTTCATTGACACAAATCCTGCCTGAGCAGGCCTGGAACAGCCTTCTTTGCCACAACAGAAAGCAGAAGTGTTTCCAAAAACACTGGAGCAGGGATCACCATCACCCTTTCCCACTTGAAGAGAACCCCTGGAAGATCAGACAGGCAGAGAGGAGTCTTGTGTAGGGGCATCCATGAGAGAACAATACAAACACCTCCTGAAGTCCATTAGCAACATCCCACAAACGATGAGGGAAAGGCAAATGTGCTCTCCAGAGGTCCAGTTTGGTCAGACACCTGTCTCCTCATCAGACCAGGAGCCTTCTCCAGAGTGGAAGAAATAGCCAGGCTCAGTGTACAATTAGGAGAAGGACTACTGACAATTTAGTTGCTGATGTCTGGCATGGAATTCAGAGATCTGACTCCTCTTGGGAAAGCATTTCCTCCTCCTTTATCATTCCCATTTCTCTAGTGTGATCCCTCCCTCACAACAGCTCTTAGCAAGAGAGTTTGAGGCAGGAAAGAGGCTGTGATAAGAAGAGCATAAATTGCTATTTCCTTTGGGAGAGGGCACATGCACTCAAGACACTGCAGGTTTGCCCAGGATTAGTTGCTTAATTTTCTATATTACTAAAACCAAAGATTTAGTAAAATAAGAAACCAAAAAGGAAAGACAAAACTACAACACCGACAGTAAAAAAAAAAAAACAACAGAACAACACAAACCCCAAACAATCAACAGAACAAACAAACAAACAAAAAAGCCAACCAACCAAAGAAGAAACACTAAGTTTTATCTGTCTTCATATGATTTAAAACCAGTCAAGTTCTTATCAGGAATCATTATCAGCTGGGCTTTACCTTCTTCCTCTCCTTCTCCAGAGCTCTCCACTGCTCGTAACACTCCTCCAGTCGGACGTGCAGCTCATTGGCAGCTCCACTGCGGTTCCTCGGGGGTCTGTACTTGTTCCAGGGGGTTGGGAAGGCAAAGCAGGGAGCAGCCACTTCCCCACAGAACAAGTCATTGAGGAAAGGGCTCAAGGGGTTAAAGTCATCGCGGTGAAAAAGGTCAACAAGTTCCGAGAACGGAAACGGCGACGGGGGAAAACCCAAGTTATTCGCTGGTGGAAGCAGATGGGGATTGAGCAGAGGCAGGCTGGGATTCTGCTTCAAATCAGACACGAAGGGGAATGAAGGAAGAAAGGAAGGATTGATGAAGTCTGACAGGCCACCACCGTTCTGCTCGTGATTTTTTGGGAACATATTGAAGGGAGGGCGGTTTGGGGCGGCACATCCCAGATGAGGAATCCAACTCCTTCTGCCTCTTCTCTCATCCTTGTTGCAGTTCTCCTGGGTCTGCTTTTTTGGAAACCTGTGGTATTTCTCGGGGTCTTCACTTCCAACCTTCTGCTGCATTAACCAGTCAGATGAGGAATGAACAGGGAATTTATGGTATGGCCCCTCCTTATTAGTCAAGGAATCCGGCTGGGATTGCCCAGCGGGTTTCATTTGTTTCTGGATTTCTGAGGTGAAGTTAGAAAGCCCCAGATTATTGGAAAAACCATTGGATGTTTGTAACCTTCCATCTTTCCTGGGAGGGAGGACAGGTAGGAGCTGTGAGTAGTAAGGGGACTGGTGGGTGGGAGAACCCCCAGACATGGTTGAGACCCCTGAGGACGACTGCGGACTTGTGACCCGTTTCCCACACGGAATATCCAATCCAGCTGCCAGACCTTTCCCATCCAGCCACGCACACCCACGGTATGATGGGTAACTCCCATTCTGCACAAGGTTTTTCACAGATAAATCACACTCAGCCACTTCAGGAGAGAGCTCTTTGGGGCCAACGTTAATCTTACATCCATTACTACTAAAAGCATTCCCCAAAGGAAAGCCACGGTGGCCGTTCTGCACGTGAGTTTCCTGGGGTTTTCTGGCTGTTTCTCCAGGGAATTTGTTTTCATTAGGGGCTTGGTTGAAAAAATACAGAGATGGATGGAGAGCTGACTGCAGTTTGTGGGCAGCTGCAACACTTTCATACCTTTTAGAAAGCCAGTGGTTGTCCTGGGATACTTTATCCCAGGAGTTATCAAAGGGCTGATGGGAAAGATCAGGGGAACACTTAGCTTGTTCTTGAGCATAATTTTTCAGGGCTTTTCCTCTTGCCCTTTCACTTTTCCAGTACTCCTTCTGAGCATGAGTGCCTTCTTTCAGTCTGCTCGGGGAAGGAAAAGGGCCAAAATTGGAGCCAGATTTCTCACAGTCCCCACTGAGCCTCCCGTGGTCGAAGCTGCCCAGGTGCTGATTAAAGTTCACCCCGTGAAAGGAAAACCCTTCCTGGGGAACCCTGTTATTGTTATTATTTTGGAAGCAGGAATTTTCAGGGTAGCTGCTCCTCAGGACGCTGCCAGGAGGCTGAGGAAGCCAAGACTCGATGAGCTGGAGATCTCCCAAACCTCTGGGCAACATCTGCACATCTGGAGGCTTCTGCAGCTGCTCCTGGGGGCAGCTCTGCGTCCTCCCCATCAGGTTTGGGAAATCCTTGCTTTCCTGAGGGTGCTTCGCCAGGAATCTCCCGTTGCTTCCAAGATCAGGTGCCCACAGGGGGGGAAACAACCTTGAAAGAGAGTTCCTGTAAAAAGAAGTTTAAGCATTTTATTTATTTATTTTATTTATTTAATTTTCTTAGACATTTCTTACCTTAAAATAGTTCACGCTATATATAATAACTATAAGGTTATTCCCTTCCACTACACATCTTTCCCATTATATTATTGATCAACCATACACAGTTCCCCTCAAAAAAAAAAAAAAAATCAAGGAGAGGAATATTCCCACTGCAGTTGAGTAAATGTTCTGTGAAATCTGACTACCAACACTGTTCCCTGCTGTTTATAATGCATATATTCAGAACTGCAGAACCTATTTGGATTTATTAAATATTTTATGTTCCCCTGCATTCTGTCAACTCCCTACTGGTTAAAATTAATCATATTTTTCATTCCTCCCCAAATGCTGTAAAAGCTGATGGAAGACTTCGGAAAAATTCGCATTTCTAACAGTTTATTGCCTTTTTTTTTTTATTAGCAAGTAAAACACTTCCACATTTCAAGAGAATTCATAAGACCTTCATTACTGAACTCTGAAATAATCAAAAATGGTTATCACATCTGTGTGACAACGGGCATAAAAAAAACCAACACAAAATTTAAGAGCTTTCAGAACAAACTTACCAATCTGTGACCGGTTCAGGCTTGTTTGGCTCCTCTAAAATGCTTGACACCAGCCCAAACATATCAGGGCCGCTGCCAGAATAAGAAAGATTAATTGGTGCCCTGAAAACAAACAAATAAACAAATAAATAAAAGCTTAGATAAGTCTTTTTTTTTCTCCTAAACAAATCCCAGGCAAAAGGAAAAGCAAAGTATAAAAGCTTTAATTTATTTTAGCAGCATCTGCTAGTTTGAAATTTGAATTTAATGTACTCTCAGCATCCAAACTCTTCCTGTATTTGTGAATTCTACAGCCTGAGAGAAGTAGAACAATTTTCCCGACTTCTTGCTTCACCAGAGACTTCCCAAGCTGTCAAGTGAAGAGACTGGAGCAGCAAGAGACTTTCCTCTCTTTCCACAACTATTTCACAGACATTCCTCCAAACCCTGACTGTCTTGTTGAGAGGATAAATACAATGAACATTCTCAGAGTCCTGGGGATTGTAATTTATCTGCAATTCAAGAACTATTATTTTAATCTTTAAAAAAAAAAAAAAGAAGTTATACTTAAGCTGAACCACTTTTTAAGGTCATGTTCGAAATAATTTTATCAGGAATATTTACTGAAGTTATGATAAACACCAGAGGTGTTCAACCATCAGCAGTCTTACACAAGCTCAGCTGTTACTTCAGGGCCAAAACGAGTTCTTTAAGAGCTGCCTGTGCTGACACCTGACCCTCACTCAGAAATCAATTAAAATATAACACTCTGAGATCTCCTTCCCTGGAACACTCATTGTTTTGCTTTAATGAAGTTCACTCCCCAGCCTATTGTCACTCAGCTGATCCCTCTCAGTGTCCCTGGGGGTCTCCCAGTCTTCCCTGGCATCAGCTCATCCAAACTACATCACCTGCCAATGCTGCCACCCACTCACTCACTAATTTGGCTGATTAACAGAGAGCATAAAATGAGGGATAAACTATTAAGGCAATCACTTTGTTAATCTCTTGCTACAGTAAAAAATAAGCCACTTACTGGCTTTTAAGTCCTCATCACGTTTAGACTTTTACCTCTATTACTTTATTTCCCTCTGTAAGGAATCTGCTCTGAGTGATTTTATTTAGGACACACAGAAGTGCAAAGACTCTTGAAAGTGTTTTATAAACATAAAACTTTTACTGGATGAGAATCTCTCATGTGTCTTTCTAAAATAGCAAACTTTTCTCTTTATCTGTTTTTCTTAAAGGAGACCTCAAGGAACACTGAATATCTCAGAATGGGTGTAGACATGGATTATCACTAACACACAAGTATCATTTAATTTAATTCATTTCCATATTAAAAAAAAAAAAGCTGCCTTGCAATAATCTAAAAGTTGCTTTTATGAAAATACTGAATATTTTAATTAGAAGATTGTCACTCTGTGCTTAAACCTAACACTTAAAGCTTAAACTGTGACACTTTTCAGGAAAAACTAGCCAAAAAAAATTAGTTTTTCTGCATTATATGTCTTTCTTAACTGTTACCTTTCAGCACCTTGTGAACCAGTGGACTCCCCTTCCTCCCATCTCGAATTTCATCTTTCTTATTAAGAAAGTGATTTAAAAGAAAAAAAAAATGCAGTGAGATCCTAGAAATACCCACTAGAAAGGCATCACCAGAGTGCCAAAAGCTGCTGTGCCAGCCTGTACCAACCAATCCCCCCCAAAAAGCAATATTATATTGCCATCACTTGGCATAAAGGAGGAAAGGAGAGAGGGGGAAACCAATTATTTCAGTGGGTGCTCCCTGGTTACTGCCATCATTCCCTGTTCTCCTTGTAATCTTCATATCATCCACAATTTTATAGCAGTCTTCCCTTTGCAGAGGTGATTTATCAAAACCAAAGAGGAGTTTTATTTGCTCTCTCCACTCCCAGGGAAGCTTTCAAACCCCTGTCCAGCCTTCTCTGCACCGTTAATAATTTCACTGCGATAAGTTGGCTGATCAGAAGTGCCTCCAACACCAACAGCTGGACTTGGGCAGAGGAAATTTCTCCATAAAAACATTTCATGATTCAAGCACCAAAGACCCTTTCCATTCATTCAGCACCCAGAAATTACAATTTTTTATTTGTTTTTATATAAAAATCAAACTTGAGTGCATTATATCAAGGGCACAACAAGCCAGTGGGCTGATACATTTTCAGGAGTAGCTGTACCATGTTCATCCTTTCAGCAGCACAGGTACCACTTACACTTGACCTGTTTCTAACACCCTCCACGTTCCAGGAAATAATCTGCATTATCAAGCACAAAATCACGATCTGTGGTACTGAGGGGTGGGAGGCACAGAAGGAGAGGGGGATTTTCCTCAAGGAGTTTTCCATGGCATATAGGAATTTCCTATTCTGTTCCCTGAATGTGGTATTCTTTCCAACCTTTCAGATGCTTTTACAGGTAAACACACCCCTTTTTTTTTCCCCCACAACCTCTGTAATAATTTAAACTCAAAGAAAATTTGTTGGGTTTCTAGTTATCCCATAAACCCTCTCTGAAACACATCTGGAATCCTGTTTGTTCTGCTCCCAGCAGGAATGCTCATACCTTTTCTTTGTGCAGTCCTGGAAGGAAGTTTCGGAGCCCATCTCCTCCCCACATCCCGACCAGTCGCTGCACAGCCGGGATGATTCCAGGGGTGGGGGGGAATTGGGAACTGCTCCTAATAATGGGGAAAACAACTGAGTGTCCATTGTTTGGTTCTTCCTATTTACCCTGTGTTGGAAAGAGAAGGGAGTGTTTTTATTATTCTACGTTTCTGTCAAGGAGCAGCAAAGGCAACACAGCAAAGCCTTAATTTTATTTCTTGACCTGAATAATTATTAGGGGAAAAATGAAGCATCGCTGTGATAAGAGGATAAAGTCTAAATAACATCCCCCCCCTTGCCTTAAATTAGTTCAAAACTGACAAATGTGTGTGTCCTCTAGAAATAAATCAGTGAATAACAAAAATGACTTACTACACAAGAACAGGAATTCTCCCCAGGTTTCACATTGTAGGTGTGGGGGGGTCACGTTCACCAGCACAGAACCTGCTGTTCTACATCACTGGAAGTGCACATGGCACAGGCAAACACATCCCCTCTGGAAAACAGAGGGAAGGGCAGTTATCCCACTCACATCCCTGAAAACACAAACTACTCCAAAGAAGAGGAAAGCAGGGAGGGACATCTGTGAACTCCACAGAGTGAGTAAGAAGAGTAACTCGGCTTTAAGCATTGCTCCAGAGTTATTACAAATAAATTATTGATTCAAGTATTAATTATGCCAAGAAAGGTTGGAGCAGGTGATAGCTGAGGTCACTTCCAACCTGGAATTCTGTGAATTTAGGTGGTTGGTTTTTTTTTTGATTACTACAAATCCTTGGTCAAACCTTGGTTTAGTGAAAGCTGTCATGGACTGGGAAGGTCTCCCTTCCCCTGGGTATTGTTTGAAGAGGAAGTAAAGAAATATTCCCTGGCCAGGTGTGTTCCTGCCACAAGCAGAACCATCCTTCAGGGAATTTTTTGAATAAAAAGCTTTCACTGAGGGGTCATCACTCGCTTATAAACTGCTCTTACACATCCAAACAAATCCCTATTAAATAACAGAATCAGAGGTACTAGAAACTTGCAGAGGCTGCACAGATATCCTGCAAAATTCCATGCAAACACACTATCAATATTTTATATCATTTTACATCAATTTATATCATTTATATCATTAAATAACAGAAAATAATGACTTCCTGACCCAGGGACCAAATGGCACCACAAAGCTTGAGTTACACAGGTCATTTCTGACCCTGCAGAAGAAGAGGGGGGGATCCACATTTTTGTGCTCCAAAGGACTCCTGAATCACTCACAGGTAATATTTGGGAAAGCAGTAGCTGACCAAGGCCGAAATTCCAGGAAAAATTTATCAGTATCAACAAGCACAGGCCAATGCCCCAGCCCTGGTCTTGTTTAGAAGAAAGGGAGCAACACAGAGAGATAAATTCTGCTCCTTGGCGAGGGTATAAAATACTCCTGCAGAGATTAAAAATAGGATCTGTAAGGAATGGATTTATCTTTTATTTTCAGAGCCATTAATCACTGCTAATGTGAGTTGTGCAGGACAGTGTGTCTAAAGATCAGGGGAGGAGGTACTTCATGTACCCGAGATACAGCCTTGGCACTTCCAAAACAGCAGAGCTTGTCCTTCCACCCAGTTAAACACAAGTTTCTCCTCTGGGATTTACAGGAGAACTTAATAACAAGTTACAGTAAAAAAAAAACCACACTCAGAATTCTAGTATTAAAAAAACCCACACAACAAATGAAATGCTGCCTTAAAAAAAATTTTAAAAATATCAAATTATGACAATCCCAACCTTCAGCAGAGCTTTTATTTTATCCTTTCCACCCTGCAAATCCTGGGAAAGCTGCTGCTCTCCCTAAATTATCTCTCAAAACAATGACAAAAACTCCACATCTAAAACACAGGTAGGTTATCAGGATGGACTTTTTCTTTTTCCCCTTTCAAAGCCTAACAAGGCACAGCTTCTGTTTGCTCCTGAAAAATCAAATGGTGCATGTACTAAACCCTCTTCCTGCCTGGAGACACCTGGGGACAGCTGGTGTTGGAAGGGACCTTTGGAGGCCCTGACACAGAGCAGGTTGTTCAGGAGCTTCATCAAGGATGAACAGGACAGCAGTACCAGTGTCCCCCCACACTGCACCCTCTGCTAAAAAGAGGAAAAATTCTCCACACAGAGGTTTCTGCCTCGCCAGCACTGCCTGAGATGGGATAAATATTTGCCTCGTTACACAATTAGAAGTTACTTTCACTGACAAAGTCCCACGTGAAGAAGCTCCTCATTTTCCAGAAAAGCTAAAAAAAAGATTCACACCTTGTGAAAAAATCCTCTGTCTGAGGGTTTCACAGCTCTGTGGATTCAGCAGGAGACTCACATGTTGTTTCTCATTATTGGAAGTGTTCTGTTTCTACTCCTGTCCAGTGAAGTCCTGGAAACACTTCAAGACTGCAGCTGCTGTTGGGAGATGGCAAGAGCTGCTGACAGGGCACCAAAGGCTCCCCTCAGGCAGCCTGCAGGGAGTTTTAGGAATTGTCATAGAGACTTCTAAATTATGCCACTGTTACTTGTATCTGGGGTACCTCATGGAAACCAGAATGGTTTGGGATGGATGGGACCTTAAGGATGATCTCATCCCACCCCCTGCCATGGGCAGGGACACCTTCCACTAGCCCAGGTTGCTCCAACCTGGCCTGGGACACTTCCAGGGATCCAGGGACAGCCACAGCTTCTCTGGGCAACCTGTGCCAGGGCCTGCCCACCCTCCCAGCGAGGAATTTGTTCCTGTTCAGAGGTGAGAGCAGTTTATGCCTCACATCAGACTAACAGTTTGCTGGAAGGATGCATTATAAGCTGAAAAGTGATGTAATCACAGCTAAATATTTGCTTCATTATACAACTGGAAAATGTTACTTTCATTGACACAAAGTCCCACCTGACAAAATTCTTGATTTTGCCAAAAAGCATTTGGGGTAAAGTAGCAAAAGGGCTTTTTACAGCCAGTTATCCTAAACCTGCAGGACCTCCCTGCTCCAGAGCACTCTGCTCAACGATGCTTTTATAAACATCTCTGGTAACAACAGTGAACAACAGCACTGCACAGTGTTGCTACATTTACACTGTGTGTTCTACACTGACTTCTTGGCAGGATAAATATTTCCTGTTTATTTCTGCTTTATCTCACCAAGAAAAAGAAAACATAAGAAAAAGCACTGGTTTGGGTTGGGTTTTGGTGTGGTTTTTTGTTGGGTTTTTTGTGTTTTTTTTTTTTGTTTTCTGTTTTGGGTTTTTTGGTGGGTTTTTTTTAAGATTTCTAATAACTCCTACCTACAGCCTTCTTAATCTGTAGCACACTGGGACTGGTTAAATCAGGATGTACTGCTAGTAATTCCCCTAAACTAGTGAGTAAAAAATTGCTTCCTTGGGTTATCCAGGAAATGAACCAGCACAAGTAAACAGGCAACAGGGATATGTAGAAAAAAAAAAAACCCAAATAAAAAAAACAAAACAAAACAAAAAACCCCACAAAAAACCAAACTCAGGGGAGAAAATAGGTCAGTTATTCTGATACCTCTCAGTGTCAGAGATAAACCCATAAAAATGGCAGATTACTGAAGACTTGCCTTCTAAATCCCAATCTCACATCATCAAAAAGGCTTTTTTGCAGCAGCAGAGGGAAAAATGTTCCTTTTTAGCAGTCAAAGAATTAAGAAGCTTTTTTCCTGAGGAGAAAGAATCAAGTCTGAAACTTCTCTTAGACAGCTGGGGCAAAAACCCATAAAAAAAAAGCACCATTTAAGGGTGTGAGGGAACAAGTAAATTTATGAGATGCTTGTTCAATATAAGAGATCTATTGACTAATTACATTGAGAGCACTCATGGACTAATGGGCCATTTGTTTTAACAGAAGCATCTAAAAACATTCATTCAATAGAAAGTTTGGGGTCTGTTTGTTTGTTTTCTTTGGGTTCAGAGTAACTTCCAGCAGTTGTTCTTTGTGGTTAAGTCTCCCAAATGCCTTTGACAAGAGGAGTGTGTGAGGATCTACTGAGTTCCACGAACAGAGGGTCACTCCCTTGTCCTGGCACAGTGAAATTGTGATGTAACACTCCCTTCAGGGGTTTTTGCTATGTGGTTATTCACTGTAAAACAAACATCCCGATAGTTTTTATTTCTGTTCACCTAAGTAAATTCACTTTTTGGACTCACCTGTGGCTTGCAGCGAGCAGAGGTGGCACTCTGACCATGTCCTTGTTAGCAGCACGCAGCTTCTCCTCTCTGCAGTGTGCAGCATTGCTGTGCAAGCCGAAATTTAGAATCTGCTGGACTGACTCAGCCTGTTTAAAAGCAATTAAAATAAAAAAAAAAAGAGCAGAAAATCACCAGACCTGTCCAAGTTGTACTTTACACGTGAATCTCATTTCTACATCCCCTCATTGCTCCTCCCAGCATCTCTCCAAGTCCCCACACACACACAGGTATCCAGAGCCAGGTGTGATGTAAGCACAGCCCCTCGGGACAACACTCACATTGAGGGGCTGGGGCACGTCCAGGGAAGGGGCTGGAGCAGCAGGAGCAGCTGAGGGAGCTGGGGAGGCTCAGCCTGGAGAAAAGGAGGCTCAGGGGGGACCTTCTGGCTCTGCAACTCCCTGACAGGAGGGGAGAGCCAGGAGTGGGGAGTCAGGCTCTGCTCCCAAGTAACAAGCAACAGGATGAGATGAAACAGCCTCAAGTTGTGCCAGGGGAGGGTTTAAGTTGGATATTAGGGAAAACTTCTTCACTGAAACGGTGGTCAGGCATTGGAAGGGGCTGCCCAGGGAAGTGGTGGACTCACCACCCCTGGAAATGTTCAGAAGGCTTTTGGATGTGGCACTGGGGGACGTGGCTCAGTGGTGCACAGGGCACTGCTGGGGGTAAGGCTTGGACTCGGTGATCTCAGAGGTCCTTCCCAACCTAAATCACAGCAAAACAATGTCCCAGGTCAGCAATCCATGCACACAAGCTTCCCACAATGTACACAAGCCTTACACAAGTGTGAGGCTTCATCTTCACTGGCCCAGAGCTTCGGCTGGGGGGGAAGGGCTGCTTTCAGGATTCAGAGAAGGTGTGGAACAAACACATTATGATAAATTCTCAAAGCCTGACAAAGCACCTGCTCCTGTCCTAAAGTAACAGGATGATGTCAGACTACACCCACATCCCACTGTGGATGACCTACTCTCACTTCAAGGGTGGGTTTAGTGATTTTAAACGAGTTTTTCACAGAGCACTAATTGACACCTGAAAGCCCAAACAACAACCCACTGATATCTCTAAACAGGAACTGCTTGACATCATGGGAAACCTCCAAAGCACTGCAGGTGCTGCAATTTGGCTTCACAACCTTCGAAAGAGTCCAAACAGAGCCTAAAATTTACCCAGGTGTTCAAAACAGGTCGGGCCATCGCACCCTCCTCCAGAAAAGTGGATTTTCAATGGCAACTCTCTGTGGCTGCCACTTTGTTTTCAGGGGCTGAAACAAGCACAAGCTTCTTGCATTACTGATAAATAATTAAATCCCAAAAAGGTCCTGTTGGGTACCTTCAGGATATGAGGGTGTCACATTAGAGCTCTGGTAGAAGCCAATTTTATAGCTAAAGCAGCACTGCCAGATTGCATTGTTACACTGACAAATTAAAATAAAAATGTTTTCACTGAGTGCTTTAATATCATGTCCTGAACTTACAAATAGTTTCAGGTTTGTTTGCTTCTGAAAAGTGCTCAAGAACTCTGAGCAAAAAGAGCAATGCCCACAGCATAATGCTCCACCAGCAGGGAAATGGGAGTGCAGTGTCCACTCATCTTCCCATCAGTACCTTAAAACCGACACCAGAAACTTCAAATGAACCCTATAAACAGCACCTGTAGAGTCACCCCACTGATTCTGGTGCCTCCTGATCCACATATCCCAAAGCCTGGTTAAAAAGGATAACATTTTCCCTGTATGCACACATACAGACACACTTCCCATAATCTTCTAAATATCCAAGCAAAATATTTGCAATTCCACGTGCTGTGGTACATCTAATTCTCCAGACTAATAAACACACAAACAAACGATTTTAAACAACCCCTCAGTGTTTTAGGAAGATCACAAGGAAGGCCTAAAAACTTCCACCCACACTCCTGAGGGTTTGCAAGTTCCAGAATCAGGTTACGTGGGATGCAACTTCTGTCAAGTTTCGAGACCCACATTTCTCCTTAACACACCTTTTTATTTTATATTTAGGTCTGTCTTTACAAAGCTGAAGTGACAGAAAGTTTGTTGTGGAGGATACTCCAATCTGCTCCCTGATTCCATCCCTGGAGCAGTGCACTGGCACCTCTGTGAGGTTCTTCTTCCCAAGCCAGAAAAAAATCCTCAGAGCATTTCTGCAAGATTTATATTTAAACTTTAAATGGCAACGACAAGGAATTAAACAGAGTAAGCACTCAGGAAACTACACGATACAGATTTATCCACTGGGAACTGTGGATTTGTGAAGTTATCACAACTTCAGTCTGCCCAAAAATTGGTTGTTTCAGAAATTCAAATTTGCAGCCTCCCCACTTCTTGCTTTATGGAAGAAAAAAAAAAAAGGAATAAAATAACTTGCCAGTGGGTAGTTTAGAAACAAAGCCCTGCTCTGCAATTTATTTAAACTGTTTAAAAAGTTACTGATGTTGTTTCTAATGATGGATTTTTATAGCTCTGCACACTAACTGTGGTCCAGAGCCACAAGCACTCCAAACACTGAAGTCCCACTATTCCCAGGCACTTTTGCATGGAAGAATGACTGAAGCCCTTACTCTGGAGTTTCAGAGGATTTTATATTTTCCTCCAGGCTGCAAGGAAATATAAAGGGAACTTAACGCCAGCTCCCTCTCTATATTCACCTTCACTCACAGCTCCTACCACGTGTCACACTCCATTATCTCCTGGCAGTCCAGGGAAACACAAGGGGATACTGAACAAACAGGTACAGACTTTTTACTGAACTTCCACTCCCTTTCAAGCCAACTAATCCAAAGGCACCTTAAGTGCATGATTTGTAGATTACGTCCCATGCAGTAAAACAGCATTGCTGGCGTTAATATAAACCTTTTTGTTTTAGGGATATAAAATTCCAGCTGAGGTCACAAAGTATTTTTCCAGACTCACTGTGACAGATGGACAACCCAGCACAGTTTAAACTCCACCAAACCAAAATGACTGTCAAAATATGTTTTTAAACAAAAGCGCTGAAGTTAATATATATTAATGAGTGTGTGAAAACCACACTCTTAGAAGTTACAAACTGGCAGGTGAGGCGAAATAAATAGAACTTTTTTTTTTTTTTTTTCCCATCAGCTGCATGAGGATCGGGGCATACACAATATACAGAGATTTGTATTTTAATTTCATTAGACTCCTGAGGTTAGACACAAAGGCTACTTTTCCCACTTGGCCTGCTGCTCACTTAGTGAAATTCGAGTACTAATAGGCGTCCTCGATGTCACTTAACAGATGTAAACTGTTTCTAAAGAAAAGTGAGAGGGGATCCATCACCTGCCTGAGAAGTCGCTGCATTTCTTAGAGAAAAGATGACAGCAAGTATTCCCACGTTTCCCATCCACTTTTTGAGTCTCCTTAGGAAACTCTGGTTGCCAACAGCAAGAGACATTTGCGCTTAGAGAACCATGTGGGGTGTGTTTTTTTCAGGCACCCGCAATCACAGAATGACTTGAAAGGCTGAGCACTCCCAGGCGAGTAAGTCACGATCTTACTTTAAGCCACAGCAACCCAAAACCAACATTACAGCTCAGAAATCACTCGGCTGGATTGTTTTCCCCCCGCTGCCTGAAATCCCAGCATCGCTCCAGGCACCCCCAGCCCGCCCAGCATCCCTCCTGGAGAACAAACCCGCAGCAAGGACCAACTTCCACCGAGACAAACCTGCGCAGCCGTTCCCACCAGCCCTTCCCTGCCCGCCGCCGGGAAGCGGGGCCGGCACTGGAATGTGCCGGTTACTCCAACATAGTTACACTCCAGCCTCGGTTACTACACGCACGCTGTTGCCAGGCTGTGGGGAGCGCGTCCCCTCCGCCCCTCGGAGCCGCAGGACACGGAAAACACGCGGATGCGGGGCAAGGAGCCGGCCCTTTTTGGGGGCGAAGCAGCAGCGCTGGCACCGAGAGCTGCTCCGCACGGGCACGGGAGCCTCGACCTGCACCGGCACGGCGAGGAACAGCGCAGAATTCCTGCCCCGAACGCCTCCCGAGGGGGTTTTATCCGCCCGCCCTCTCAAAGTCCCCCGCGGCAGCTGGAACCCTCCCGCCAGCCAAAAATCGCAGGGCGCCCCAGGCCCCGCTGCAGAAGCGAAAGGAATCCCAAGCTTACATTTTTTTGGGTCCGCTCTCCATCCAGCCAGTCCCAGCCCCGGAGCGGGTGATGTCACCACCACGCGGGAAGCACGACGGGAATTGTAGGCTCTCCCTGCGGGATCCGGGACCGCAACTGCGGGACCCCCCTCCCTCCCCCGGGGCTTTATGGGCACCGCCCCAGCCGCTTCACTTGGTCGGGAAACTCTTCTCAGCTGGGAGAGAAGTGCGGGGGAGTGCTTGGAATGCACCTTCTCCTTCCCAGTTAGCAAAAGTAATTCCTAAGTAATTATCCTAACGTGATCACTATACTATATACATTATATAATATATAATATATAATATATAATATATATTTTATATCTTATAGCTTATATTTTCCTATATGTCAATAATATTTATATATTTTATTTTATACCTTTTATATATTTATATACTTAAATAATAGATAAAATTAAATATATCTTTATATAAAGATATAAATATATATTTATATAAATATAAATAAAAATTATATATCATCCATATATATTTGTATTTTATATAAATATATTTAGATGGATGTGTTTCACCTTTTTATAATTTATAAATATACTTGTATTGATATATTTTATATTTTTAAAATATTTTCATAATATATAGTGTAATATATATTGTAATATATATTAGAATCATATATATAATACATTATATATTATATATCATAATATATATCATAATCTATTCTAATCTATTATAATATTTTACATTTATATTCGATATTTTATATATTATAATATATTATAATATATTGTATATTGTAATATATTATACTTATATTTATTATATATAAATATATTAATATGTTTTTGTATTTTATATAAATCTATTTGTGACTATGTTTTATGTTCATATAATATATAAAATATATTCCTGTTATATATCACTACATTAACAATTCATGTATTTTAATTTAGAAATTAATCTGCTAGCTATTATATTAATTAATAATGCATTGAGGTAATTGTGTGATATTTAATATACAATATAATACATAGTGTATATGATACAATATGCTGCATATATACACTATATATACATATATTTGTGTATATATACAATATATTATATATTGTATTACATTATATTGTGTTATATATGACAGTACAAGAGTTCTCATGACAAGCTGATTCCCTCCTGCATCTCTGGGGTTTTGGCATCTCCAGTAATTCACTGGAATGGCTGTTTTTCGTTGGTGGTGATGCTCCTGCCACTTCTCCTCCTGTCTCCCTGCTGAAGGCACCACTTGGCTCTCTCCAACCACCGACGAGAAATCAGGCCCTCTGCCTTCTGTAAGAAGAATTAAACTTAAAGGTTGTTTTATTAAAGGCTTTCTTTCACGCTGAAGCAACTCTCCTTCTCCCCACTTTCAAGTATCCAGTCAACAGTTACATTTTATCACCTGTTAAACCTTTTTTTTCCCTTAATAAAGTCGTCGTTTTTCCACAATTCCTTGCCTTAACTCAGATCATAAACCCTGATCATCCCCTGACATCACTCCTGTTTTAGTGCTACAAAAACAATGAACATAATTTAAGCAGATAACGAAATCCAGAGACAATGGGAATGGCAAACAGAGCCTTTTTCACCTTTCTGAAGAAAACTGCATAAAAAAGGTATAATATTGTTCAGTTGCTGGGAAGTGAGGCCCATCATCAATCAAGTGTTACTGCAGTCTTGAGAGCAGAAGAGAGAGCAGAGTGCTAAATTCCAACTAAATTTAAAATCAAAAATGATTCAGACACACAGACCCCCCCAAAACTGCCCCTCAACATCCATTTATTTCAGTCACCCAAGCTAAACTTAAAAATAAGTTGTTCACCCTGAACAATAAAACTACATTGAAAGCACTGCTAAAATAGACTGTGAGTGCCACACAGCACATAACCTCCCTCAAATATTAAGTTCATTCCCCACTGCTTCTCTGACACAGAAATAAATAGGAAATTAGGTCCCCTCTCCCTAAAAATCTCAGTCCTTGTTTGCTTTACTGTTATCCCCCCACTGGTTTCTCTCCACAAAGCTGTAATGACATTCCCAGACTGCCCCTGTCCTCCTTCAGCTGCCTGGTGTAAGCACAATTTGAGAATTAAAACATATATAAACAGGAGACAGGAAGCTTTTATATCCATTTCTATATTTTTTCCCCCTCAAGAAACTGGAAAGATCAAAAACCTCAAGCAGGGATTAAGAGGAAAAAAAAAAAGAAAAAGCCCAAACATTTCCAGTGTTCTGGCAGCACAGCACTAAAGTACAAACTCTTATTTTAGTGATAGGAGTAGACAGCAAAATTCCAGGACAGAGGCAGAGAGAGGAAATCCAGACACAAATCCACAAAAACAGTTCAGGCATGAATTATTTCCGCTAGTTTGAGAACAGCGTGTAAGAGAAAAAAAACAAGGCAGACTAATCTGAAGGGCTGACAGTCCACCTAAAAGCAAAATGCCACACAGGGAAAGGATGGGGAAAAATAGCTCAAAGTAAAAATGTAGCATTTTTTTGTGTTCCCATCCAGCAGGAACTGAGCTCCCGACAATATTAAGTGACTAGAAATAGTGGGAGCTACACCCCTCTCTCAAAATAAGATGTAAAACGCCCCCAGTGCTTGTGCAGAGCGTGGTTTCAGGGGGGATTGCTGTGAAAAGGGGATGAAAGCTGCCAAATTTTCCAGCTCTGAAAACCCTGGACGACTGGAGTCCCCTGGAAAAGCAGGATCACCACAAGCTGTGAGGAATAAATCAGACCCGTGACTCTCATCTGAGCAGCATTTGGACACTCCCTGTGGACCTCAAAGGTTTCAGCAATGCCTTAACAGCAGGAAAACACACCTAAAATATTAATATTAAACAAATATTTAGATTGAGCACATATTTATATCTGTGAGGGCTTTTTAGAGTTGCTGACTTCAAGTAATGCAGGGTGAAGACGCTCACACACAACCTCCTGGCCACAGCAGTGTGAAATATTACATGTAATTGTATTTTTAATATTGGATTGCAGTCATTTTAATTACTCAGTAGACACCCATAATATATTTTATGTTTTATATGTGTTTTATATATGTTTTGTTACATATAAGTTATAAAATACATAACACATAACAATATATCTAAATATATTATATAAAACATATATCTTTATATATTATGGGGTTTATATATATTCTCTTTATTTTTATTATATATTCTGTTTGTGTTATGTATTTTATATGTATTGTGTATGTATTATGTTATGTATATACATATTATATGTTACACATGTATTATATATATGTTATATAGTATATAATATATATAATATACTATATAGTATATGCTATGTATAGTATATATAATATATATTGTATAGTATATAATATATGTTATATATTATATAACATGTTATATAATATATATGATAGATAGATAGATAGATAGATAGATAATTACAGACTGATGAAGTATGAGCAGTCATTCTTCTGGACTCTTCACCATACCAAAACAACTTTTTTGGAATTTTACTATGACAGGAAATGTAAAAAAATGTGACAACGAAGCAAGAGCTGGTCCTAGAAAAATTTAAAAAGGCAGAGGGAGAAAAAAAAGGAAGATGAAACTTTCTTTTTCCTCTGACCAGGCGTTTCAATGTATTTTCCTCCACAGTGAGGAGTGGCAGTGGGTCTTATTTCATCCCACTGGTTGGACTCCTTGATCTTGGAGGGCTTTTCCAACCTTAATGATTCCAGGGAGGCAAAAAAAACCCTGACAAAAATCAACCCTGCAGCTTCCAGCCCAAGCTCACCCAGCTAAAACCATTAATGATGAAGCAGGATGTGAGTGAGAATAATAAAAAACCAAAAAATTAAGGACAACATGAATTGGGGCTGCCCCCTCCCATTCGTGCCACATCCTTTCTCCAGAATCCATCTGATACCTCTTTATTTCAGTACCACCTTATTTTGTGTCCAACCTTCCATACATGCAACCTGCAGCCGTTGGCAACAAGAAAAGCCTTTAAAATACGTTAAAGAGGACGAAAGGAACGTGTGACTGAGGCAGGAAAAATTCAGGGCTTCCCCAAACAGAGGAGTTTATTCAGTGTTTATTCGGGCTCTGCTCACACTGGGACAATAAAACTATTCTGTGGAGACTTTGCACAATGGGTGGCAGAGAGGAAAAGCTGCTTCTGGCAAAGCAGCATCAGCGAGCAGCACAGCCTCGCCTTTGTGGCACTTGGAGGATCCAGTTTCATTTATTTTTTTTCCAGCAGAATGGCTCTGATAACAATCCCCAACCTGACCAACAGTCTGAAGTGTTTTTCTTGTCAGCAAGCAACCTGAAAAAGTATTTGTCCTGTTGTGTGTCTTCACCCCAGGCAAATGAAAGGCATCATCTCTTCTCCTTCGGATAAACAATTTTTAAATTAGATATAATTAACAAGATATTCCACATATTCATCTTACAGCAACCACAGAGTTTTAATCAATACGAGAATTTTTCACAGACAACTTCCTTTCACAGTAACACTGAAACAGTGGCAGAATGTGCTTTGGACGGGTTTTGCTACAAATATTCATGCAACAGGTTGGGGTTTTTTTGGTCAAAATGTTGGGGGTGGGGAGACCTGGGCACCTCTCTCATCATGCCCTTGTGCAATGGATTTATTGTAATACAAAAATAGAAAGGGCTCCTGTAAATCAACACTGCAGGTTGACAGGGGTAGGAGGCACAGAGCTGGTTTTGGCTTTGGAAGCAAAGAGGAATATGCTGACTGCAGGAGCAGGGAAAATTGGGAAGGCAGAAGAGCGTTGGGGGCCGGAAAAAAAACGAAGCAAAGAAACGCCAACTTAAAACTCAAGGCCTCAAATGTGAAGTACAAGGTTTTCCTCTTCCTGAACACAATTCCAGCGGTGGGGAGAAACACCCACACCCATCAGTGAGTTTGAGCAGCTCAACGCAAGGAGTAATTTGCAGTAAACGCTTTTAGCCTGAGAATATATGTAAGAGCAGCATGATCTCCACTCAAAAGAAGAAAACAAAAAAAATCATAATAATATCACAAAATGGTTATTCTGAACGGAAACACTCCGTGCGTGGAACGGGGAATCTCCTGCTCCCACCGCTCAGTTCAGCGGGAACGCGCCCCACATCCCGCACGCAGCACAGGCTGGTGGAGGGCCAGACTCAAAATCCACTCACAGCCCAACCCAACAACACGTGGCAACCCCTAAATAAGCAGGGATTACCCCCAGGAAAAGGTGCACTTCCCTGTGTCTCTCTCTCCACAACGCTCAGAGGTTGATCAGACCTCGCAGCTTTGGGTTCCCGCTGTTCAGTCCAGATTCGACGCATCCTGTAACGCCCCTTCCATCCAACACCACCACCACCAGCCGCAGGCCGAACTTCTCCCACAAATCAACATCCCCCGTAAGGCAAACAGGCGGCTCCTCACCTACTTAGCAGCAGTTTTGGGCCACCACTCGGGCGTGCTCGCGCTGAGCCGCACTCTGTCCCCTCCCACGTTTATGCAGAGCGGCTCGTTTAGGTGAGCCAACCTCAGCAGGGCTATCCCGAGGTCACCTCCTCCAGCCCGGAACCTCCCGGCCGCCTTTCCCGACTCGGTGAGGATCTCGGCGCCCTCGGGAATGCCGTCTCTGGGGAGCGGAGCCAAGAAGGAGACGGGGAGCAGGCGCTTGCGGATGACGCCCATGTGGTGTGTCCTGGCCGTCAGCTCCTGCCCGATGTAGCAGCCCTTGGTGAAGCTGATGCCGTTCATGTAGGCCAGGTTGGATTCCAGAGGGAGGGCGACCCCAGGAGGGAGATCCTTCACACCTTCAGGAATTCCTGGGAAAAGGGCGAAGCCGAGAGGTAAATACTCCTCCACAAGGCTTGGGCTCCAAGTGCCTTGAATTGTTTGACTCATCAACGACTTGATTTTCCACACCAGACGGACTCTGATTTAAGCACAGAACCACCACCTTTCCCTCTGCCAATTAATTTAATCCACCAAAATCAAAGGCACTGGGACTCCCAGCAGTGAGTTTCCTCCCAAATCAAACATCCTCCCCTTGGCCTCTGAGTTAACTCAGCAAATCCACCCATGAATTTTTAGGAGAGTTAAGTCTTGGGTGTTCCCTCTTCCTTCCTTAGCAACGAGCAAAACACACGGGCTGTGTGTAATCCCAAAATAACCAGAATTACTCAGACCACAGAAGCTTCTAAGAAAATGAATAATCCTGGTTTTCTTTCGGCGTTCCTGACCCAATCCCCATCATCTGAGCTAACAGAAAACCCAAATACTGCTTCTGCCCCCAGAGAGAATTCTAACTGCCAGAGAACGTTTTTCACTCAAAGCAGCAACTAATACCTCTATTTATAAACAAACTAAACACATTACTTATTCCTGCCTTATCTCAGCACGTGGACTCCCAAAACCCAGTGCCACACAGAGTGCAAATGGGGACTCGGCTTTACCTTGCTTGTACCTGTGCCTGTGGTAATCCTGAACGTCCCCAACGCGGCTCCCGGGGATGATCTCCGACGGGTTGGCTCCTTTCTTTGTGATCAGCCTCCAGCCCATGACTCCCGCCCTGGGGTCGGGAGTGAGGAGCACAGCCTGGCCTGCACGTTTTGGGAGGGAGCCGGAGGCATCTCCAGCCCCTTCCCCGGGGATGACAGCCCACAGGGAGAGGTCAGGGCAAGGGGCGATGTCGACTTTCCTGCGGATCTTGTACAGCTTCAGGTGTTTCTGGAGGGGCTCCAGGACGCTGCTGTCGCACTCCAGCAGGATGTGAGGCTCCTCTCCCGCGCTCCCGTGGAGCCTAAAAAAAGTAACCACCTGCGAGGTCAGGAAAAACAAACCCCTGGAGCAGCGGGAGCCAAGAGGCTTTGTGTGGATCCTGGTGTGAATCCAGAAGTCCGGGCAGTTTCATGGAAGGCTGCTGGCACGCACGGAGCAGGAAATACCTCCTGTTTTCCAGCCATCAGTTATGCTCTTTCCCAGCAAACACTGCCTTGGACCTCTCCCAGGGAAAGGAACAAGGTGTGGGGAATTCTCTACCCCTTCCCTAAAGTGAGGGGAATTTCAGCAGGGGGAGAAGCCACGTTCAGCTGCGGCTTCCACTGGCACAGAATCCCAGCATGGTTTGGGTTGGAAGGGACCTTAAAGATGATCCCGTTCCAACCCCTGCCATAGCCAGGGACAACTTCCATTATCCCAGGTTGCTCCAACCTGGCCTTGGACACTTCCAGGGATCCAGGGGCAGCCACAGCTTCTCTGGGCAACCTGTGCCAGGGCCTGCACCACCCTCCCAGCCAGGAATTCCTTCCCAATATCCCACCTAACCCTGCCCTCTGGCAGTGGGAAGCCATTCCCTGTGTCCTGTCCCTCCATGCCTTGTCCCCAGTCCCTCTCCAGCTCTCCTGGAGCCCCTTTAGGCCCTGCAAGGGGCTCTGAGGTGTCCCCGGATCCTTCTCTTCTCCAGGGGAACCTCCCCAGCTCTCCCAGCCTGGCTCCAGAGCAGAGGAGAGGAGTCACTAAACCCACTCGGAATAGGCGCTGTACTGCGCTTCAATTCACAAACAGAAGCCGGCAGTGTCGCGAGTGTGACACGGGCGGTGACAGGAGCCACCCCACCCCCCCCCGCCCCGCAATGGTCTCACCCAATTCCCCCCCGGTCCCCACATGGTCTCACCTGTACAGGATGACGTCATACAGGCAGCGGCCCTGCACGTTCAGCGCGTGCGCGTACATCGCGGGGGGGGCCCCGCCCGCCGCCCCCCCCGCCAGCTGCGTGACGTCATTGGTGAGCAGCCCCTGCAGGAGCGCGGCGGCCTCGGCGCCACGCACGCCCAGCAGCGCCCGGCCCGGCGGGAAGCAGGCGGCGGGAGAGCCCCGCCCGCCCCGGCACAGGCGGCGGAGCCCCGGCGCCGTTACCGCCCTCACCAACATGGCGGCGCCGTCAGGGGAGCCCGCGCCCGCCGCCGCCCGCCGCCGCCGCCATCTTGGGTGTGTCCCCGGGCAGGGCGACACCTGCCGGCGGGACGGGGGCCGCGCTCTGGCCACGCCCCCCCGTCCGCACAGACCACGCCCCCTCTGCCGTGGCCACGCCCCCTCCCGGGCGGTCCCGATCGGGGCAGGGAGATCCAAGGGGATCCTGAGGATGGAATTTGGGGATCCTGAGGATGGAATTTGGGGATCCTTCCGGCTGCTCCCCGGGCTCCCCGGCCGTGGAGGGAGCGAGGGGAACACCCTAAAGCGCTCCCACCTCCCGCGGTTTGGTTGTGGGGCTGCCCGAGGGGTGCCCAGCCCGGCTGCTCCCCCGTGGGCGTTACAGGATCACCCATCATTCGGGTTGGAAAAGAGCCCTGAGATCATCGAGTCCAACTTGTGACCCATCACCACCCTGTCAACCAGACCGTCAGGACTGAGTGCCATGCCCAGGTGTTTCCTTAAACACCTCCATTCCTTCCCCTGCCGAGCCTAAAATCCCCTAAAACCACGTGGAATCATTCTCTTCCAGGGACATTTTGGCTAACCTGCTGGAAAACTTCCTGTTCTCCACTGTTTTAATTCTCCCCTACCTCTGTTTCTGCAGGACCCACCAACTGCCCCCATCCTCCTTTAACACTCCTGGAAAAACTTTGTCAGCAGCTCTGTCTTAAATTATAATGTTTAGCAGTGGGAATTCTACTAAGCATTGCACTGAAATAAAAACACGGAATTATGGAATAATTGGGTTGGAAGGGACCTTTAAAAGGTTATTTAGCCTAGGCCCCCTGCAACAAGCAGGGACACCTTCAATCCCTCAGGTTGCTCAGAGCCTGGAATGTTCCCAGGGATGGGAAATCCCTGTTAAAATCCTGCTGTTAAAATCACGGAGCTGAAGGTGCTGTTCTGCTTCCTTCTTGAACATTCCCTGGCGCTCTGGGAAGTGGAATGTGAAGGGCCTGGATAGCCCTGGGTTTGGCTGCGGCTCTTTCTGCTGGAATTCATCCCACAGTCCAAGGAATAGCCGTGAGTCATCCCCTGTCATTTGCAATTCCTGTTCTCCAGTGGCTGCCATTCGGTTCCAGGCCATCCACCAGCAACGAGCAGCTCTGCAGGGAGCGGGAGGGGGATCGCTTGGCCCTGAATGACCCAGCTAAAATCTCCAGGATCGATTCCAAGCCCCTAAACCCCACCAATCCCAAAACCCTGAGCGGAGGGAGCCGTTTTGCAGGAGCTGGGGACGCCCAGTGTGTTCCTCCAGCCGGCCCTGGGGCAGGACTGGGCTCTGCCTGCGTGTCCTGGGTGTGATAACCTTATCACACACCCCTGTGTGGGGGGAACAGATCAGCTCCTGGTGGTGCCAGGAGGTACAGAGTGTTCAGTTTGGGGCTGGCCCTGCTTGGAGGTGACACTTGGCAGGCACAGTGAAGGCTGGCACAGGTGTGATCTGAGGTGACCTTGGCACGTGGAGAGCTCTGCCCGCCCCCCTGGCACGTGTTGGGTGTCAGAAACTGGGCTGAGGAAACCTCAGCCTGGCCTGAAACCATCTGGAGATGCAGGGAGCTGATGCCCAGCGGGGTTTTCTCCTCTCCCTGCAAGTGGGAACGTGCCAAGAGCAAGAGCTGTGGTTGCTTTTTGGAGGCCCAGGAGAAGGGGGAATATCTGGAAGCACAGCTGGGCTGAAACTCCAACAGCTGGATCCACCTCTGGCTCTTCTTTGCCGGTGCCACATCCCTGCTGCACCCACCAAGTCATGGGGACCAGCCATTCCATGGGAAGCCCTTGGCTATCCCCATGCATTCCCATGCTGCTTCCCAACCATCACACAGGTTGTATCCAATCCCACATGCAGATATTTGCAAGGGCAGCAAGAGAAATAAAATTGAAAACGGAAAAGAACCAGGGGGCCAGTTCAAGCCTTCATTTGCTTTTCCCTCTCCCGTACTTTTATGTGCTTTTCTCTGGGTTTACTTTTCCTTTATGATAGAGTTTTGCAGCCAGTAAAGTCGTATTTAAACATTTCAGTGTCAGAAACTACAACTCTGCCAGTTTGGTGCATTAAATCAGCTCAGGGGATGGTTTGAGACGAGTCATAGCATGGCTGAGACCTGCAACACACCGAGAGGCCCTGGGAGGTCTGTGCCAGCCCTCACTGAACGTGTGTCTGTCCCCACTAAAATTGGGGGACCTGAAACCTTGCTGGAGAGACAACACAGCTCCCAGAGCTTCCATGACAGCATCCCTGGCTAAGCTCTATCCCAAAGGGAAGATTCCCCCCGTGGTGGAACACCTCTCATCCAGGCAGGCGTGTTGGGGCAACCCAGAAATCCTCGCAGATAAGAGGATGGTGACAAGGGACAGAGACTCTCTCTCTGTTCCTCACCAGCCCCTGGGCAATGGCACAAGCTCCATCAGCTTTCCACTCTCCGCTCTCCCACTGCCCAAAACCCTGTGGCAGCAGGACAGCCTGAGGCTCCCGCTTGTGAGGGCTCATCCTTGGCATTTATTTATCCACCCATAACTCCTCCACCAGCAGAAATCAGGGATAACCACCGCAGCCAGCCCTGGGGGTTAATGCTGCTGTGATAAACTCATTTTCTCCAGCTTTTTCTCGGGGTGCTGAGCACAAACCCTCATCCCCAAACCCACATGAGCAGCAATTATTCATCCCAAACCCTATTTCATGAATATTCCCCAGGCTGTGCCCTGGGAGGTCAGCCTCAGGCAGCCAGCAGGACGTGGGGCTGTGGTGAACCACGGCAGCAGGACAATATCCCACAGTCCTGGAGAGGGAAACATGGGTTGTGGCTGGCCTGGGCAGTGCAAAGATCAGTGATGACAGGGGGAAATTGCAAGGACAACAGGCAGGATGAAGGAATAAAGCAGGAATAAAGTGGCTAAGTTTGCTGGGAGTGAGACAAAGGAGATGCTCTGAAAGGAGGGTTGGTCTTTTCTCCCAGGTAACAAATGATAGGATAAGAGGGAACGGCCTCAAGTTGCACCAGGGGAGGTTTAGGTTGGATATTAGGGAAAATCTCGTCACTGAAAGGGTGGTCAGGCATTGGAACAGGCTGCCCAGGGAAGTGGAGGAACCACCATCCCTGGAAGTGTTTAAAAAAGGTGTGGGTGTGGTGCTTGGGGACATGTGTTGGATCTGGCAGTGCTGGGTTAGTGGTTGAACTCATTGATCTTAGAGGGCTTTTCCAATGATTCCATGCTAGTGGGACTGAGGATGGAGGTAAAGCTGTTGTTGGCATTTCCCTGGGAGGAGCGATTAGGAGCCAGTGGGATGCTGTTGACAGGAATACTGGAGCAGCCAATGCAAAAGAAGGGTTTATGATCCCAGAGAGAATAGGAGAGTCACTGGTATCATTTGTCTAGCTTTCCAAAGAAATGAGGGGGGTTGCAATTGCTCTCCAGGTTCCCAAAATACAGGTGGATGGGAGCTGCTTTTGCCATTCTTCCTTCTACTGAGCATCAGGCTCGGGGGGCCCATCACCCTCTGGCTCTGTCCTTCCTCCATGGAAACTGTCCCCACCTTCTCCAGCAGCAGCAATTTGGAGGTGGCACGGGGGCAAGAGATGAGGCTGCTCCTCACTCACTGATTTCCCACTGAATCCTCTGGGACATCCGGGCAGGACGTGGCTGCCTGAGGGACAAGCTCAGCTGATTCCTCAGACCTTGCTGGTTTGAAGGACACCTTGGTCTTTAGCAAAGGTTTCCCTTATTTGGGGTGTTTTAGCCTAAAATGCTTCTGACCATTGACCCCCCCGCTGTGGGCTTGTCAGAGGATCCTGCTCTTGGCATCACAGGTTCATGGAATGGTTTGGCTTGGAAGGGACCTTAGGGATCATCCAGTTCCAACCCCCTGCCATGGGCAGGAACACCTTCCACTCTCCCAGATTGCTCCAAGCCTCGTCCAGCCTGGCCTTGGCTCTTCTCTCTCTCAGTGGGACCACATCCTGCTCATACCAAAGAATTTGTCAACACAGTTCAACTTCCAGAGAAACAAGGAAAAAAAAAAAAAAACCAGGAAGAAAATGCATGTTTGTGTCCAGAAATGTTTCTCCTGAAGACTTTTTTGGACAGGGGTTGCGGGTGAACGCGCCTGTGATTTAACGGGCAGAGACCGAGGCTATGCATGGAAAGTCAGGCTCTCTCACAAAGCTCTTTCCCATCATTTGCTCAGCCTGAATCATCAGTTTCTCCCAGATTCCCCAAAGTTTTCTTGCTTTTTGGAAGCTCAGGCTTTCCCCAGCAGTTTGAGCTCCGTGCCCGAAGGAACGGCGGGCAGTGATTCATCAGGGAGACAACGCATCCCAAACAACTCGAAGGTCAACTGCTTCTTAAGGCAAAACTATTCTGCAATGATTTATACCCATATCTGGGGAAAAAAAAGAGCTCCTGCACGGCTAAAACGGGAAAATCATGGATCAGGAACAACTTCTTCTCAGCACTCAAGGGCCCGTCCCAAGGAAACATCACATGCTTTACGTCATGTAACAAAATGTAAGTTTTATTCCATATTATTAGTAGTGGATGTGGAATAACCAGTTGAAGAGCTGGACTGATGTCTCCTTCTCCTTTGACCAGTGTTTAATATTCTAACTACAGTCCAAGATGTAACACTGACACTGAAAAATACGCACAGATTCAACCTCATACTCCAAAAATTCCTAGTACAAATACAGTTAGTACATAATAATAATAATAATAAAAAAAAATTAACAACAACATCAATAAAAATAACAATCCCAGACGCTTTGTAACAGCACAGACTGGTTATGGCCTTGAGTTAAGTTCAAGTATTTCCCAGTGGAATGCAATGCAAGCAAGAAGGTAATCTGGCTTTTACTTGGGACATTCCTGGCCCTGAATGGTAAGAAGAGAAATCTAAGTGTGGGCACTTCATCTGACCAAGTTTAGCAAGAGAGTCAACATTTACAATTAGTTCAGCTGCAGAGCCAAACCCGTCCTGTGTGTGAACAACACTGCAAACTGTAAAAAAAGGAAAGCAAAGCATTAATTGTACTGTTGGCATTTCTTCCATGGCTGATGCTCCGTGGTTTAACTGAAATTCCTTGAGCTGCTGGTGGAGTCTGGAATGATTCTGATGGGGATTCTGCTCGTGGTTATGCATATTTTGCCTGTCTGTCCTTTTCCTTGCCCAACTGACAGGATAAAGAGAAGGGATTGTTGCTCCTGCCCCCGAGAGGAGTCATTCCTGCAGAGTCATTAATGCCTTCGTGGCAGTGACTCAGTGGGAAGAGGCAACATCCTAAAGGATTTCGAGGTCACAGAGTGGAGGAGGAAGGGGGGAAGTGAGCAACTCAGTATACAGAGTAATAATAATAATATCAGTAATAATAATCTTTTCTGTTGCTAGGGACTCGTGCTGGCTCAGCTGGGAGAGCCAGGATCCCTCCTCCCCAGGCTCAGAGGAGCCAGCAGTGCCCTCCAGGCTGGCTGGGACCTGGCAGGAAACTTTGCATCTCTCCCAGACAGCTCATGGCACCCCAGCACTCCTGCTGGGAACGTGCCCTTGTGCTTCAACCCCGGCCAAAACACCTGGAAACCACGGGAAAGCAGGGCTGGAAAGGATGGTGCTGGTGGATGAGCTGGAGGGAGGGTGGAGGGAGCTGTTACCCCGTGTCCCTAAGCAAGGGGGGTGTATTGATCACCCAACAGTCTGCCCTGGCTCTGGCACTCGTCAATACTGCAATTATTGACTCTCCTCGTGGAAAACAGCGTGGGAGTGTCCAATGTGCTGGTGACACCAGCAGGGGAGGGGGCTGTGAACCCGCTGCAGGACCCACAGGTCACCCAGAACCCCAGGACTGGGGTGGGACAAAAAAAAAGGGGTTTGAGGGAGGGCAGGAGGGTCCCAAATGTACAAGCACACACGTGGAGAGGGGAGCAATCCCCATGCCTGCAGAGGATGGGGTTTTGGGGAGGGCCAGGGTGGCAGATGGGTGGGTGGAGAGGAGCAGAGAGGGAAGGTGGCTCCAGGACCAGCACAGCCACACCACTGGGAAGATGTGGAGTGGCTGGTGTTGGTTCAAGGACGCCAGGGAAAACTTTGCTAGCAAAGCAGCCCTTGGAGAAAGGTTGATGAGGCTGGAGTTGTTCGGCTTAAAAGCAAATTTGAGGATGGAAACAAGTCTTCAAACACCCAAAATATGCAGATGTTAAAAGCATGAGACATTCTGCATTGCTGAGGGGAGGACACACCAGGGGTTGAAGAGAGGAGGGTTCATGTTACCCATTAAGGAGTCATTTGATGGTGGCAAGTTGGCAAGAAGATCCATGGTCTTTTCCCAACCCTGCTGCTCCAGGTGCCTCTGAACCTACAGCCACAAAGCCCTGGAATCTCCTCCCATCAGGCACTGACCCCCTGTACCACTGAGGCAGGTCAACCTGCCCTCTAGAGTGGGTTTAATGAGTTGTTCAGGTCACTGTGACCAGGTTTGGGGTTTATTTTGGTTTAAAATCTGCGCCCTGCTTTCCCCACAGGGAGATATTGCCAGGATTGTTTCCTGAAGGAAGAGCAGGGGGGGCACATTCCCATCCCTGGGTGACTCAGCGGTGAACCTGCAGGTCAGCAGGAGCTGAGGGGCAGATCTGAGTCACTGGGAAATGCTCAGGTCACGGCTGGGGCTGCTATGGGCAGGACAAATCCAAAATCCAGACTCCTGCACAGGGGCAGCACTTCCCAGCGTTGTGTGGGAAGGACGAATTTATCCAGGGCCTTGAGATTGCTGCTCATCCAAAAGGAATCAGAAGAACCCAGGCAGCATCCAACCATGGATCTCCTCAGAGCTTCCACCATTCCCTCGGGATCATGGCTTTAAATACACCCTGTTTCCCATGGGACACAGGGCTGGGAATAAAAGAGGAGTCACACTGATGTGGAGGACGAGCTTTGTGCCCTGTAATGACTAGGGAGCAAATTTCCACCCAGGAGCTCCTCTCTGTCCTTCCCAGAAGCCTGGGCTGTGGATGTGCAGGCATTTAGGACAAGGGGACAGTAGCCCTGTCAGCATCCAGCCTCTCCTGCTCTGCCCAGCACACCCCCAGCCAGGAGAGAACACAAGGGACAAACAGCACAGTTGGATATGTTTGTCTCCCCACCACCGTGGTGTGAACTTCCCGAGCCTTTCCTGCAAAATTCCCAGCAGAAATTTGGGATGGATGTGTGCTACTACTGCTGCTGGGGGAGGATGTGCTGACCCTCCTCCTGGACGCTTTTTTGGAGGGGAAGATCTCTAGCAGTGAGAGCAAACAGCATTCCAAGCATTTTACCAATGCCTTCAGCAGGACCAGGAACAAGCCTGGAAGTGTTCCCCAGGCTGTTACACAAAACCACACTGACTGTTTGCAGCTGGATACCTTGTAGGGTGTTCCTTTGCTTCCTTTTTAATTCCACTTTTTGGCTTGCAGGACTGTTCTCTAAAGGCATGGAGCAGTTCAGCCGAGGTTCCCAGGAGCTGAAGGGCATATCCAAATCCTCTGCCCCTTCCCCACAACAGCCAAAGGGCCTGGACACAACAGGGCATCCTCAGGGCTTTTGGGGGCTGATCTCAAGGACATGACAGTGATGCCCAGCAAGAAACCCTGTAAATCCAATGGATAGGAAAAACTGGCCCAGGGACCTGGATGTGACTTTGGGTGGCTGGCACAGCCCCGAGGGAACAGCTCAGCACAGAGGCTGTGTTAGGGAGGATTGACTTCTTTTGTGTTAGGTTTGATCTTGAAGGCTCTGCCTGCGTGGGTTCTCCATGGTGAGGAATCAGCCACGGGATCATTGGGAGGCTGTGAGAGCATCTGCCAAGCCACAGGTAAGCTGGGAACATCTCAGGGATCAGACCCTCTCTGGTAGGGTTGGGCAGCTCCTGCTTTCAGCCTCTGCCACTTGGCAGGAGATGCTCCCTGTGCTCCCAGTGATGAGGTTTTCCTTCTGTAAGGGCAACAAAGCCACAGACCCAGAGCTGTGCAGGAGATGTGGGATGAAACCACCCTGACAAAGCACATCTCAGCACCAGCAGGAGCCTTGGAGCTCAGCAGCTTTCAACACTCCCCCAGACTACTGTAAGTGCAGGAAAACCACCCTAAACCCCAGCCAAGCTGAAAAAAACTCCCTGTAAACTAAGGAAAAACTTCCTGCTGCCATCCTGGTCCTGTCCCCACTGAAGCCAGATCTCCTGCAAAGCCCCTCAGGAAAATGTTGGAAACCTCCCCATTGCCCAGGTGAGGCTGGAGGCTGAAAGTCCAACAGCTGCTCCAGGCTGAGCTCAGCCCCAGTCCTGGAGCAGCTGGGTTTTCCCAGGGGAGGTGGAAGGCTGCAAAATGACCAGAGGGTTGATATTACATTTACATATATCTCTCTATGTCTATACTCACACACACACATGTTCATATGTGTCTGTATATATACGTACATGTACACACACACCAGAGACACACTATGCATAGATCTGCCTCCTGCCACTATTTATAAGGGTTTGATTCATCAGGAAAACAAAATTACCAACAGAGATCTTCCTTCATTCATCAAAAATAAAAAAAACCACCCAAATTTGCCAACAGAGATCTTCCTTGATTAATCAGAAAACCCAAATTTGCCAACGCCGTCCTTCCGACCTCTACTAAAACTCAGCAAATAAAGAAGCCTAAACCCTCCACGCTTTTGTTTTCCTTTTGTTGCATTAAAGGCACTTTCTGATGATGTGAAGCAGCAGTTCGTTAAAAACTCTGTGACTGCGAGGAGTCCCATCACATCTGTAGCAAGTGCTACACAGGCACCGGGAGGATGCGGCGTCACTGCTCGCTCCTGCTCCGGAGGGGTTGGAGCAGTTCCGCTTTTTGCTTCGATGCAGAGGAATAAAAGATGAAACCTTCAGTGCTGGGCTGTTCTTTGGGCTCTGTGTGTGAGACAGTCCCTGTGTTCCTGCCCCACTCCTGGCTTGCAGCATCCAGCAACGTCTTCATGATGCCCTGCAAGACCCCTGCCAGTCCAGGCAGGACGCTGTGTCGTGAAGGTCCGTGCAACGTTGTCAGTTGTTCTCATATCAGGGGGATCAGAAATTAATTTGATTAAGGGTGTTTAGTAATTAAACGCCGCCTGAACCTGCAGCCCTCGAGCCTTGCCCGTGCAGGAGGGCGGCTGCTCGTGCCAGCCTGACCTCCCTCCTGAGCCCCCAGCAGCTCCACCTCCCCCCACAGCGCATTGTCCATCTCTGCTGGGGGGTTCTGGTGGGGACTGGAGGGGTGGGAGGTGCAGGGGGGTTGCTGTTACTCACTGGAGGTTCCTGTTACTCACTGGAGGTTCCCAGCTGGAGAACACGTCGGAAAAAGGGAAGAAATGTCTTTTGTTAACGTCCTGGAAGACAGCACTAAACTGGTCTGAAACTCCTTCTCTCTCTCGACTTCCACACAAAAACTGTGCCTGTGCCCAGCGAAACGAATGCCAAAAACCAGAGACAAACCAAAATAACCCCCCACCTATGCTGCCCCCTCACCTTTTCCACAAAGTTATATCCATACTGACGTCTTTCCGTCCTTACTGCTGGAGCTCCCCTTCTCCAGGGAGGCCTTGGGCTTAGCACCTTGCTTCTCCTGGGCGGTGTTGGCCCTGTTCTGCTCCACCACCGTGCCCCCCGAGGCGGGACTGCTGGTCCTGGAGGGCTGGGTGTTGGCCTGGGTGCTGCTGTAGCTCTGGAACGCGATGTCCAGCTGCTCCTGGGCCACCCTCAGGTGCTTGTGCAGGGTGGACAGGTCCGCTGGCAGGTTCTCGTCGGGGCTGGTGCACTGCTGCTCCTGGGCCACGTTGGCCAAGTTCTGCTCGTGGGCCATCAGGCTGTTGGGGATCTTGGTGGACTTCTCCGACTTCACCACCAGGTTGTACTCGGGGGGGCAGGAGATGTTCTTGGGGTAGGCGTAGTTGTAGGGCGGCTGCCTGAAGCTGTTGATCTTCCGGTTGCGGATGGCGTCGCGGATGGTGCCGAAGCCCAGGTGGAACATCTCGCACATGTTCAGCAGCAGGCACAGGCAGCTCACCACGTACATCACCAGCAGGAAGATGGTCTTCTCCGTCGGCCGGGACACGAAGCAGTCCACGGTGTGAGGGCAGGGCACCCTGTTGCAGACGTAGAACGCCTCCACCTCGAAGCCGTAGAGCAGGTACTGTCCTATCAGGAAGCAGACCTCGAAGGAGGCCCTGGTGAGCAGCTGGAAGACGTAGATCTTCATCAGCCCCTCCTCCTGGATGCGCCTCCTCCCGTCGTGCTTCTGGGGCTCCTTGCTCTTGGGCTTGGCCTTGGCCTTCTCGTGCTCCGCCGCGTCGTCGGAGATCATGGGCTCCTCCTCGTCGGCCTCCATCGCGTCCTCCATGTTGCGCACGGCCTGCCAGTTGAGGGCAAACTGCTTCTTCTTCTTGAACCCCTTGAACTTCTTCTCCTCCTCGGCCGAGCGGGCGATCCTGTGGATGGCGTAGCCCAGGTACATGACGGAAGGGGTGGAGATCACGATGATCTGGAAGACCCAGAACCTGACGTGCGACAGCGGCGCGAAGGCGTCGTAGCAGACGTTGTCGCAGCCCGGCTGCTTCGTGTTGCAGGTGAACTTGCTCTGCTCATCGGAGTAGATGGACTCGCCCCCCACGGCGGTCAGGACGATGCGGAACACGATGAGCACGGTGAGCCAGACCTTCCCCACGAAGGTGGAGTGATTGTGAATCTCTTCTAGCAGGCGGGTGAGGAAGCTCCAGCTCATGTTGGTCATAAGGGCTACTCAGTTATAACCTGCGGGGAAAGGGGGGAAATAAAAACCGTGGGTTGGTGAGGTCACATCTTGTATCAGCCACGAGGACCAGGGCAGGGATTGCCCCGCTGTGCTGGGCACTGGTGAGGCCACACCTGGAACCCTGGGGGCAGTTTTGGGCCCCTCATGATAAGAAAGACATGGAAAGGCTGGAGCATGACCAGGGAAGGGGCTGGAGCAGCAGGAGCAGCTGAGGGAGCTGGGGGGGCTCAGCCTGGAGAAAAGGAGGCTCAGGAGGGACCTTCTCCCTCCCTACAACTCCCTGACAGGAGGTTGTAGCAAGGTGAGGGTGGGGCTCTTCTCCCAGATAACAAGTGAAAGGACAAGAGGAAATTGCCTCAGTCTGCACCAGGGGCAGTGTTCCACTCCAGATTTTAAGCAATAAGCTGCCCAGAGAGGTTAAATTTTATTAAAGACTTTTTAAAAGCCTTTTGGTTCGTTATAACCTCAAATTTGAGTCCGGAGAACGAGTCACACACTCTTCTGGAAGAGAAATTCTTCTAATTTATTGAGAAAAGTAAGATATTTTGGCAAAAGGTTTTACAGGAGTTAAAAAAAAAAAAAAAAAAAAAAAGAAAAAATATTTCACTGAAACACTCATCACAAAAACCAATCCACAGAAAACACCTACTGCAAACCATCAGTTTACCAGCTTTAGTAAAACACAATTCGTTGTTTTCAAGTTGCCCACAAGAGAAGGAAAAAAGAAGAAAACAGATTAAAAGAGCAACAAAAGAGAGAAGTGGAGAGAGAGGAAAGGAAAAATGGTTGCCAACCAGATGAAGTGGTGGAGTCACCACCCCTGGAAGGCTTTTGAAGGTGTGTGGATGTGGCACTGGGGGACGTGGGTTAGTGGTGAACACGGTGGTGCTGAGTTGGGCTCAGTGATCTCAGGGGTCTTTTCCAACCCAAACTGTTTCTGTGGGATAAACTCACTCAGACAACACGAGTTCAAGGGCCTGAGCTGAAAGCAGAGGGTGCTGCCCACACCACAGAGACTCTGCAATATCCTTTATTAGCAAACCCAGAAAAATGCAAAGAATCAGCGAAAGAATGGGAATATTTATGTTTACAGGCCGATGGCCCTTTTAAGTCCCTTTTGAAAAAACAAAACAAAACAAAACAAAGCTTTAATCAAATGCAGACTGTTTCAAAAATAAACCTTGAAAAAGCTTTCAAGAGAAACCCAGGCATTTATTAGTAGACCTGGACAGCTGGGGAGGAAGAGCTTGTAATAACCATTCTGTGTTTAGCTCGACTTGCAGTGGGACCTCAGCCCAAGCTCCTTGGGTGAGCCCCAGGCATCACTAAAGACAGGAGGCTTTTTACTGCTTGACTGGCACAGCCCTGACAGATACCTGGAGGTGAGAGTGACAGGGAAAACATCATGGACCCAGAGAGCCCTGGAAGGAGAGGGAGAGGAGAGAGAGGGAGAGGAGAGAGAGGGAGAGGAGAGAGAGGGAGAGGAGAGAGAGGGAGAGGAGAGAGAGGGAGAGGAGAGAGAGGGAGAGGAGAGAGAGGGAGAGGACAGAGAGGAAGAGGACAGAGAGGGAGAGGACACAGAGGGAGAGGACAGTTAGAGGGCTGTTGTCCATGTGTGGAAATTGTGTGGACATCAAACCCAACCCTCTATGCTGGGTGAGCGTGGCTGAGTGGGGATGAAGATCTAAGGGGGAAAATGATCATGGAATCACAGAATCCTGTAATTTTTTTGGATTAGAAGGGCTCTTAAAGATCATGTTGTTCCAAGCCACGGGCAGGGGCACCTTTAACCTGTCCAGATTGCTCCAAGCCCTGTCCAACCCAGCTTGATGATGATGAGACACGAGTGTGGCCCCACCTTGGCTTTGCACCGCTGGAGACACAAAACTGTGCCGTGGGGTTTCCATGGCCCAAATCCAGGCTTTGGTCCTGCTTCCCCGTGCCAGGCACAGGGTGGGAGCAGCCCCAGGCACAGCCCCACACGGGAGCAGGAAGGGAAACGTGCCTTGCTCTGTTCTCCACACCAAGGAATGTGGCTTTGCTTTAGGACAGGAGCCAAGAGGGGCTGGTTTGCCCCAGGAGGCAGCACCGTCCCGGCCTCGAGATGCAGCGAAATTCCTGCGCTGTCGAAGGGCTCTCGAGAGCAGCAGATGGAATTTTCTAACCCTGCTGTTTGCAGATCAAACGAACCCCCTGCGAACCCAAACCCCCGAGCCTTCACACGCCGGGCTGGGCCCGTGGGAGCTCTGCAGATGGTGTTGTTCCTGTCCTGCAGCTGGAGAAACTGAGGCAGGGACAACTGCTGGGTGAGGTGGGGGAAGTTCTCCTCTCTGCCCTCAGAAGAACGACAGCCCTCAAAGCTGCCAGGACCAGAACCCCCATCTCCTGCCCCAAAAGCGATGCCCTGGACCCAGTGGTCAGCACAGAAACACTGTGCAGGTGAACATGGAGAGCAACCCCCACAGAGCTATTCCTTATTTATGGAGGAAATTGGGTTTACTCAGGGGTGAGATGGGAAAACATCCCCTGCGAGTGTCTTTTTTTACTTCTTTGCAGTGGGTACACCCTAAAGTGTCTTTAACCTTTCCCCTGTTGTGTTCACACTCAAATATGGGCGAAATGGGGCGTTGAATGATTTGCAGGATTAATCCAGGCACTCAGCCAGGCTCCAGCTGACAGGGGGCTGGGAAGGGAAGACCCTGCTGGGTGTGGGACTCGGTGCATCTGTCTGTGCAGCACCCGGGTCTGCCCGAGGCTTGAGGACACACCAGCTTCAGCTGCTCAGCCCCCACCAGCACCCCAAACTAACTGCAAGCCTCAAATCATCCTTAAAGACTCACTTCAGATGTCCTGGAGAGCAGTCCATTCAAAATTCAGGGCTCACCTCAAGGGTTTACACCGAGGATGATTTCCCATTTTGTGAGTGTTACTCAAAGACACGATTCCCAGAGCTCCAAGTCACCTCCCAGCAGCTGTTTGATGGGGCTGGGAGGGTCTGACCAAGGTAACCACGGCTTTTGGAGTTAAGTATTCAAGTTTTGAACTGGTTGTTAGCAAAGCACCCACTGTCTCCTCTGGGGGGCATGTTTTAGAAAGGAGCCCCTGAAAGCGCTGGTTCTAAACACTCCCAAACCTCCCGAGCCAAGGAAAAGGAAAAAATGGATAAATAACACAAGTGGAGGGTTGTTGCTTTGGGAAGAACAGCTCTGGTCACCAGCCACCAGCTCGACGTGCTGGTCCTGCCGCTGACACCGCAGCCCAGCCCCCTGTGCACATCTGGATCTGCAGGAACATCTGCAGGGAACAGCCACGAGCTGCTCCTGTGCCCCTGGGACCCCTCTGTGTGGGATCACCCCTGGATGTCACACTCCTGTGTGCCCACCCACCCTCCTGCCACCGGATCTGAGAGCAGGAGCTGAAGGGAATGAGTTAAAACCCCTCCTACCATCAGTTCAGTTGAACTTCCAGTGCTTTTCGTGGCTCACTGGCTACAAAGACCACACTGAGAGATTTCAGCACCTTTAATTGCTTAAAGAGTGGGGGTGAGTGCCCCGTGATAATCTGGGATCAATTCTATGGCAAACACGCTTCCAAGGAAAGATTTGTTCTCAGGGATGATGGATAGGATGCCACTAGGAAAAGACTGTCCTTTCTCTTCACAGTGCCAACTAGAAGAGCACAGGAAATGGATTTTTACATTTTTCCACATGCCTCCACGAGATTTAATTCCCTCCATGCAGTGGGAAAGTTACACAGTCTGGGGAAAAAAAAGCCCCAAACCTGTGTGGATCTGCAGCAGGTAGATGGATTAGATTAGGTGGTTCATGAAGCTCATTATCTACCAAAGACAGGAGCCATCATCCCTCAGGCTTTGAAATCCATTCATTCAATCATCCACCTTCACACGTCACCTCCAGATTAGCTGACACACAGCTCGTGGAACGCTCACAGGGCACAAGTTTCACTCCAGGACAGCTGCACAGCAGGAACTGGACTGCTCAAACCACCAGAAACTCCTAAAGTAGTCACAATTATGTGTAGACACGACTGAGCCTTGAGCTCTGCATTCTCATCACAGCGACTTCCCAAAACCTGCCGATCCCTCTACACAACCACAGGCACAACTGTCAGACCCGGGAAATAAAAACTTTACAACCCCAGTTTAAGATAAGCCGAAGGGAGAAAGAAATCGCCCCGCGCTGGCTGGATGCCCTTTCCTTTCTGCACGGCTGCTTAAACCGCGGGGAAAACAATGGGGGGGGGAAAAAAAAACCACCAAAAAAACAAAACCCATGGACTTACAGAGACATGGTGCTTCTCGCCGTGGCTCCAGCCACATTCCCGTGCCTTGCCCTGGATAAACTCCCTCCTGCCTCGGTCCAGCCCCGCCCCAGCGGCTGGAAAGCGGAGCTCCAGGGAAGTATTTAAGGTGCTGTCGGACCCCGCCTCTGGAGCATCCCCCGCCGGGAGGTCCTGCCCGACCCCCGGGCACAACCCCGGAGCGGTTCCCGGCGCTCCTTCCCTCGCCAAGCCCCGGGAGAAGCGGGGAAGGCGCTGTATAAATACACCGGGGAAGAGAGGGGGCACTGGTCTGAAATCCAAACAAGCCGCCCGGGGCTGGCTTTAGGAAGGCTGCCTGGAATTCCGCCGCTGAGCTCTGGAGTCGGTTGGAAGTAAATTAATAGCATCGGCTTGTGGCACTGGTAACAGATTTGTAAGACAGAGAGCATGACTAATAGGGAACATGTGGGAAACACGCTTTGGCAAAGGTTCCTTGGCTGTTGGGGGCGAAAAAATAATTAAAAAAAAGAAAAGAAAAGAAAAGAAAAGAAAAGAAAAGAAAAGAAAAGAAAAGAAAAGAAAAGAAAAGAAAAGAAAAGAAAAGAAAAGGGAAGGCTCACTAGTGGGAAAAACTGCCCTGGAACTCCTGCTTCGCTGCTCCCCCAGGAAGAGCTGGTGCTCTTCTCTCTGGGCTGGTGGATTCACCAGAGAGCAGGTG